TATATATATATATATATATATATATATATATATATATATATATATATATATATATATATATATATATATATATACATACATACCGCTGCCACACGAGTAAGTCTTTCTTGATCCTCTACACCATCGGGTGTACCTTCGAGCCCGAGTATACGTGTACATGCACTAACGAAATGTCGGGCGTAATCGTATGTGTGGAAACTGGAATTAAATTAAATCCAATTAATGAACGAGTAAGCGAGTGAAAACATGAGATTGAGACGACATACGTACAGTAATCATAATTAACAACAAAAGTACATTTTTTCCCTCATATATTAACTTTCTAAATTTGCACACTTAAAAAGAAAATATCTTAACAATGCAAAAATGCTAGATATATAATAAGTTATTAGAGTGATTAAAATAAAAAATAAAAATTACCCCACTAAATCGGCAGCTAGAACCGAACGAAGCAATTCCGATCGAGAAGGCAAGGTCCGATGAATTTCCGAAGAAGGAAACGGAGTATGCAAAAACCAGCCGACTTTCATATCACTGTTGTGTTCCTTTAAACATTTCGGAAGGAACATTAAGTGGTAATCGTGACACCACACGACGTCACCTTCTTGATAGTGACTATTTACGACATCAGCAAACATTTGATTGGCTTTCTTATATGCCGTAAACTGAGACTGAAAACTCCTGGTGGTGGCCAGGCGGTCCTCTTGCGGCAGTCCGAGATAGTGGAAGAGCGGCCACAGTATGTTGTTGCAGTAGCCATTGTAGTACTGATGAACTATCTCCTCGTCCAAGAAAACGGGAATGCACCGCTGGAAAATGCGGGCCGAAAAAAGTTAGTGGACTAATCCAAACATTCAATAAGGTCCGATTGTTTAATTAATCATGACTAATATTACCAACCGAACCAAACATAATATAATCACATAACCAATTCGATCAGAATCTTATCAATCCCATCAACATTCCCAAACGAGGCGTTAAAAGAATATAAAATAAAATTACGAAAAAAGCCCGCAATCGTAAATTGTTTCACCTTCTCAGCGAGTGCTCGAGTAAGCGCCCTTTGGCCAATTTCATCCGGCACATTGACACCCGCCCAACCAATCCACCGAGCCTCGAAATCCTTAACACCTGCAAGAATTTACGGAATGATCACACTTTAGAAGCAAATAGCTAATAAAATTCTTGAAACGAAAGGAAAAAAAAAAGTAAAACAAAAGCTGACCGAGAAGAGCGCTAACTAGACCGCCGGCGCTAATCTCGAGAGACCAAGAATCCTCCCCTCGCCTCACCGCAGAGACGGGAAGTCGATTAGCAACAACTAGCAACCTCTGCTTTGTGGGCCTACCATTACTACTATTAATATGCCGTCCGTTGGGTGCTCGATCGGCTCCTACTTCCGAATAATGTTGTTCGGATGCATGATTGTGATCGTTGATCTCGATCGGACGGTTGTTATTGTTTGATGGGGGGATTCTGTTGTTTCTTCTGAGCTCTCTTTCTCTCAAGAGACGGCCTACTCGAGTATTGAGTACTCCCGAGTTTTCGGTGTACTTATTCCCAGGCATTTAGTACAGATGAAGAGAGCAATTGATCTGCATTTTTCAAAATTGCATCAAATGGTGGGTTTTGCTGATAACAAAAAAAGGGGTGGGTTTTCCGTAATTACTGAATCAAAATTAAAATTGAAAAAAAAGAAAAGGGGATGGGTGAGGGGAAAACAAAATTGGGGGTATATCAAATTCAGAAATTTAAGAACCCTAGTTGTATATATATACAAGTTGATTAAAAAAGAAGTATAGTAAGTTCATCTGACTGGAATAATTGACAGAGAAAAATGGAAGAACGGAGTACAGAAACGGAAGAAAATTGAGCAAAATTGAAGAATTCCGAGCGAAAGCAAAGCAATTACAGTAAAAACCCATATCAAATAGCTGATCAGAAGCCCCATTAATTCGAGAAAAAAAAAAGTTGAGAAGATGGGAAAATGCAGGAAAAAGCAAAAATGGTGGGTGGGTCTTACTGAATTCGATCCCGAAAAAAAAATCTCTGGAGAAAAGCTTCCAATTAAGCTGTCAGTAGCACTGGAGAGAGTGAGAAAACACGAGGAGAGAGAGAGAGAGAGAGTGAGGAGAGAGAGAGATATAAAGGGAGAGAGGAAAAGCGGTGGTGGAGGTGGTGGTGGTGGTTGGGAGATTCTCGATTCTGGGTCCGGGGTGGCAGAGAGAGAGCATAGGCAGAGAGAGAGAGAGAAAGAGAGAGAGAAAAAGGAGACAAAAAGTTGAACAAGAATCGCCCCGCGTGTAAGCATAGTATCACAGACTCAGTGTGTGTGTGTGTGTGTGTGTAGAGAGAGAGAGAGAGAGAGAGAGAGAGGTTCACAGCCATGCAGCTCAAACCCAAAACGGAATATACTCTTCCTAATTATCTTATTGGACGACAAATAAAAACCATTACAAAGAGAAAATATGCACCAAGTTATTTTTTGGTTTCTTATTAATGTAAATTACGGTCACTCCCCAGAAGTAAAGTTGAAGTACGAAAAGTTTTCTCATATTTCGGTAATTACAGCCACTCCTTTAATTATAAATTTTTTTACACGTTCATTCTTGCGGTGTCAAATTTAGTGAAATCTTTTAGATTATGTGGAATATTCTCCAGTTTGTTCCCGTTTTACCTCATTCGAACTCCACTCCATATTCTGAAACAAGATGATTGTAAAATGTGTTTCTTCGTTTGTAAATATCAGATTGTGGTGCATCAGAAACTGTATTTTTGCACAAAACGAGTAAAAACTAGAAAAGGAATCTAGAAGATTCTGTTGAATTTGACACCATAAGAGTGCACGTGTAAGAAAGTTCATAGTTAAGATTCTAGACTTTTTAAACAAGAGAATCTAGCCTCCGGCTCTTAATTATACCTTTATTGTTTTAATTCCCAAAATTAAAAAGCCGGAAAAAATTACCGATTATAGACCGATTAGCCTTTGTAATGTTGTTTATAAGATCGGATCTAAAGTGATCGCCAACCGCATCAAGCGTATTTTGAATGATATAATCTCCCCCACTCAATCTGCCTTTGTTCCAAAACGCCTTATCACTGATAATGTTCTAGTCGTTTATGAAGTGAATCATTTCATTAAAACAAACTCTAGTAATAGAAAGAGCTATATGGCTATTAAACTTGATATTAGCAAGGCATACGATCGGATTGAATGGATTTTTTTGAGGAAAGTTCTTACCCGATTTGGTTTTCCTCCCAATTTTTTTGATCTTATTATGCTTTGTGTGTCCTCCGTCTCTTACTTCTTTTTGTTCAATGGTTCACAGTTTGGTTCTTTGCTCCCTTCTCGAGACTTTCGGCAAGGCGATCCCCTTTATTGTTCATTTGTTGTGCAGAGATCTTCAGTACTATGATTCAACAGGCTGTGACTGCTGGACAATTGCACGGTGTTAAAATTGCTCCGACAGCGCCTATTATCTCGAACCTGTGCTTTGCTGATGATACTCTTTTTTTTTGTCGTGCAAGTGATGGGGACTCAATTGCTCTGAAGAAAATTCTTGATCAATATGCCCGTATATCTGGCCAAGAGATTAATTACGAGAAGACTACCATGTGCTTTAGTCCAGCTACACCACTTTCAGTGAAAAACTCTATTTACAATTTACTAGGATTTCAAGTGGTAGATCGCCATGACAAATATTTGGGTATGCCGGCATCCTTAGGTAAATCTCGAAAGGACATCTTTCACTTCTTGAGGGATCGTCTATGGTCTAAAGTTAAGGGTTGGGGGGAAAAGCAGCTGTCGCAAGCGGGAAAAGAGGTAATGATTAAATCTGTGTTACAAGCTATTCCATCATACTTGATGTGTTGCTTCGAGTTACCTGCAGGCCTGGTTGCTGATCTTGAATCTACCATCCGTGGGTTTTGGTGGGGTGGGGGTTCGGGTAGAAAGGTAGCTTGGATTTCTTGGAAGAAAATGTGTACACCAAAATCGGTAGGGGGAATGGGATTTCGGGATTTGCGTAGTTTCAATTATGCTTTGCTTGCTAAGCAGGTGTGGAGATTAATTACTAAACCTGACCTTCTCCTCTCCAAAATTCTTAAGGCCCGATACTTCCCACGGAGCGATATTTTTCGAGCGGCAATCGGTTCTCGACCATCAGCTACATGGAGGAGTATGCTGAAGGCACGCCCGTTCTTGGTGCAAGGACTTCGGAAGCGCATCGGGAATGGTCATGAGACATCTATTTGGGCCGACCCATGGTTGCGAGACGATGGCAATCATAAGGTCTTAACTCGACGGCCAATTATGAGCAGTTACCCGAATCGGGTATCAGATCTCATTGACCCCGATTTATGCACGTGAAATATTGGAATTATTAATTCGCAATTTTGGCAAGTGGACAGAGAACGGATCTTAGCGGTTCCTATTGGAACTCATAATGCACGAGACAGGTGGATTTGGCATTATTCTAAGTCGGGAGAGTTTACGGTCCGAACCTGCTATCATAATATTACTTCACAATTTCATCGGTCAACTAACAGTTGGGGAAGGAATGAAGCATCACATAGCGGGGCAGCGAACCATAAGTGGACCGAGATTTGGAATCTGCCCCTCCCTCCGAAAATTCACAACTTTCTATGGAGAGCTTGCTCGGATATCCTACCTACAAGCGCGGAGCTCCACCGAAGGAAAATGGTCCCTTCTCCGATATGCATGCGATGCGGTGCTGATGTTGAAACTTTTTTGCATGTGCTGCAAGAGTGTAACCAGATGGGGAAGGTTTGGAGTTCGCCGTTCTTCAATCTTCGACCCATGCGGCCACAAAGCTCGATGTGGAACTGGATTAGTCATGCGAGGGCCTTTCTCCAGCGGGACAAGTTCCTCTTGGCACTTATTATTGCGTGGAAGGTCTGGGACGTAAGGAACAAATTAATGCATGGCGAAGAGGCTATGGAAGCGGAATATCTCATCAATCGGGGTCAATCTTTTCTTATCGAGTTCCAAAAGGCGATGGTCTTGATACCGAAAATTCAAACGAGATCCCTCTCAACGGCGTGGAGTCCTCCTCCTGAGGGCTGGATTAAAATCAACGTCGACGCAGCTTTGCCGAAAGGGATGGTCTATTACTCAGTTGCTATGGTCGCACGTGATTGGCGAGGTGGGTGTTGCAGATGGGCGGTTCGTCGATTTCCGGGGCAACCACAGTCGGTCGAATGCGAGGCACATGCAGTTTTTGAGGCAATTTCTTGGGCAAGGACCATTGACTGGATCTCGATAATTATCGAAGGAGATTGCTTGCAGGTTATTACTTCCCTCGAAGAAGGCGAGTCATCATTGTCGTCGTTCGGAGCTTATATCGATGAATGTTTGGCTATAGCAGGTTCCTTTGTATTTTGCGATTTCTTGTTTGTTAAGCGTAGTGGAAACCAATTGGCGCATTTGTTCGCCACGAACATTAGTTTAAGTTGCAGTGATGGAACTCATATTCCTCATAATTTGGCTATTAATGTCTAATGGAATTTTCTTTTTCCTAAAAAAAAAGATGGGTAGTTGTAATTATCCAAACATGATGGATTTTTTTCCCTAATTTAACATTACCCCAGGGGTGGCTGTAGTTTACCCTTTTTATAATTGAGAGGGGGGGAATTTTTATTTTGAAATATGTTATAATTATTTATTTATACATAAAATGTAGTGTATACTTCTAGGCTCTTATCTGGTTGTGGAGATTAGTCATAATTAATTAAATATATATATTTTATTTTAATTTTTGGGGCACCTCGTATTTTCTTGGATCGTTTTGAAAATATTATGTTACGGTGGGCCGATGGATTATCTTTCTATGAACAAACCTTGTCTGATTGCAAAGATAAGATTAGTAACAATAAAATTAAATAACATAATAAAAATCTAATTATTTTATTGAACCCAAAAGGTATGATATTACAATATTTTTGGATCGACTTGAAAAGCTTTAGTTTACCAAATATCAAACAAAGTCGAATTATTTAGTTATTAGTGGCTAGCTAATCTTTCCAATCAAACGAGATCTCATTACATTATTTAATTTTATCGTGGCTAACCATATCTTAGCAACCAAACGAGGTACTAGTATATAAAATTTGACTATACATGCCTATCGATTATGTAGATATTACATCCAGTGAATTAAATACACCCGTTTATCCTGCACCAATACATATAATACCACACACCCATGTGTGTATGTGTATTATCCTTGTACGTGAATATATATAAATTATTGAACTTTATTATAATTATATAAATTATGTACTTTGTGAGTTTAGCTGTTTAGGTGCAGTTACCCTAATTAGTACGGAGTTAGTACAATCTTATCTATAATCTAGATTAATATTTGACCATAGAAATTATTCCAAATTAAAAATAGAAATTTATTGAATGGAGACAAATATAGAAAATACTAATAATATAAAGGAAGAATGTATGGTGAATTATGGTCACCCACCACCGAGTAAGATCAAATTACGAAAACATCATCATATTTGGGTCATTATAATCACCCCTTCAACTATGAATTTTCTCACACGTATATTCTTATGGTGTCAAATTCAATAGAATTTTCTACATTCGGTGGAACGTTCTTTAGTTTATACTCATTTTGTGCAAAAATATAGTTTCTGATGCACCACAATCTAATATTTTTACAAGCCAAGAAACACATTTTATGATAATCTTATTTCAAACGTGAAGTTAGAATGGAATAAAACAAGTACAAACTGGAGAATATTCCAAATAATAATTTAGAAGATTTTACTAAATTTAACACCCCAAGATGGACGTGTAAAAAGATTCATAATTGATGGGTGGTTGTACCAAAACGTAAAAGGGCATTTTCGTAATTTAACCGCACCTCACGAGTAACCGCAGTTTACCCAAGAATGTAAATGGAAAGAATCATCAATGAAATGAAATGAAATGAAAGGGTTATAAAGGAAATTTGGGTCACAAACTATTGATGGGATTCACATGAATATGAACCTAAAAAAAGTTAAAGTTCAATTGTATGTTCGCTTTTCTTTTTCTTTTTTTTATTTTACTATTTTTTTTAATCAAATAATACATACTTAATTATCAAGGATATTATAAACAAATGTTTTCTTCTTTTTTTCCATAAAAAAATGTATAGATAGAATAAAGTGTGTTAGGTATACGTACATTTGTGTTTGGGAATTTACGTTGAGCAAGTAAATAAATAAAATAAGGTGTAATATTTTTCTATTTCTTATACATACATAATTAAAGGGTGAATAAGTTTAGGAAATGGGGAACATGAATTGAATATAAGATAAGATAAGATAGGATTCAAATGGAATTTTTGTTTGTGATTAGAATGAAATTTTTGAATTCAATTGATTTCGATTAGAATTCTTTTGGTTTTAGAACAATATTTTTCATTTGAACTCTTGAAAATTATGGTTTTTAGAATTATTATTGGGAAAAAATTGAAATGCATATCAGATTCCGATTTTGGATTAAATTTCAATTTTCGAAACTCCAATTATTTTCCAAAAAATACACTTGTGTAATTTCAATAAACTGTGTTGGCGCCAGATTTCCCAGGACGAGTCTTGAGGAAATCCGCCAAAATATGATACACTTATTTAATTTGGTTTTGCTTTTTCCTCTCTTTTCCAAGAAATTGGTGATATATTCTCTCATAAAGTTAGGGTATAATGTAATTTTAAGAGCTACAATAATCATACTTTGGTCATACATATATAATGCTTTCTAGTGGGATGAGCTCTCCTATTGTTTTAATGTTAGCTTTTTATTATTCCATTATGTATGTGACAAAAGGTGAATATTTATTTATTATATGCCTTTACCAAAAGCATTTTTTATTCCAATGCATGAATGAAAAAGCTTCAACTTTTAAAAAGAAATTCTACAATTTCCCTCTTATTTTATGTGTCGTTTTTCTATTATTGCATGTAAAAATCATTTTGTCATCTAACCAAAAAAAAAAAAAAAACTAGGTGACCACACCGTACCGGAATTTTGGTAAATCGAAATTTCTGTACTTCAAAATTTTGTACCATTTACCCAACTGAACTATTCGGTACGGTTTTTTTACTGAACTATTCGGTTTGGTATGATATCGTTCGGGACCGGTAAAACCAAAATATATTTTCTTATTTTAGAAAAGGTAAAAATAAAAACTATTTAAACGAAATAATTCTTGAATTTTGACATTCAAAATTCAATAATCGGCCCTATAAACAAAAAGTGATTCTCGGTAGAGGCTAATCTGTAAAATAATGGAATTTTTTTTTATCAATTTAGATGTATTTTATAATTTTGTATAACCTTAAAGGATTTAAAATAAAAGTAACGAATAAATATATATTAAATATTTCGGTACTCGGTACAATATCCGTATACCGTACCAAATACCGGAGTTTAAAAAAATACCAAATACCGAATCAAGGTTTTCAGTTCGATATTTGGCATCTACCAAATTTCGGTTCGGTCGGTATTCTTATTATCGACTGTGCATAACTTGTGCATCTCAGAATTCAGAGATCTCTATTATAATTATTAATAATACAGATGTTATATTACACTGTTTATCTTCTACTTCATATCAAGAAAACTAACAGAAGAAAAATGCCCTTATTGTTTAAAAGCAATAGTCCGTTTAACAAAATAATTCTATGGGCAGATAACATAATTGTTCATCTAACAGATCTACATCAAACCTAAAAATCGAAATAAAAAAAAAACCCGAAAGAGTCAGCACAATCTCCGCTTTTCAGTCTATAAAAACCTTCACAAGAAATCAAGAACGAGTGGATTAGTACAATCTCGGAACTCAATTTTCAACTAACATTAGCAAATGTATTAAATGACGTAAAAGGCATACCGTTACCGTATACTATATCAACTTGTTTCGACGGCAAGTGGCATTGGAGAAGAATAGCTCAGTGCCAAGTTAGTGGCTGAACAAAATAAGAAAGAATGATTTTAAATTTTAATAAGTCAAATCGAAAAAGACAAAATTACGAAAAAAAAAAAAAACTATTCATACCTTCTGGTTCGATTCTCAACCAATCTTGCCCACAGAGTAAAGCTTCTCTAGTATCTGGACTAATCGAACTATGATACTGATCAAGAACTCTACCACTGTTACTAAATGCTACATCCGGTGCAAGGGTAGAAACGGGAATTCCAAGAACATCACGGGCCATCATAGATAAGATTGGATACCTCGGTGTGTGGACTTTCCACCAATTCAATATGCTGAAATCGCAATTACGTGGAAAAACGAGCTCCTCCAAATACTTGTCCAAATCGGACGAAATGTTCTGACTTTGCGAAGTTTCGAACAGAAACTTGTCGAAACCCTTGAGTTTATCTCTCGAACCGCCGCTGCTACTCGATAAGCTGCCGCCAAGTAGATTTGAATCTTGATCGAACGAAGATGGGCTCATGGAGTACTCGTTAAAGAGTTCCCTTAAACCAGCAGAGACTTCTTTGATTCGATCTGAGGCGGCACTGCCGTAAATCTGCTTAAAATAGTACTCGACCAATTTCATTTTGAAACGAGGGTCAAGAATTGTTGCTATAGCTAAAACCAAGCTGCACTTGCTCCAGTATGTGTCGAACTTGAGTTTCATCTTCAATGCCACAGAGCTCAGAAAATCGTCAGGGGTTTTACACCAATCGTTTAATTGGATGTGCAAGTCGCATATCTCTGGGAAAAATATGTTTGTGGTTGGATATTTGTTTCCCACGATGACATTAGTGAACTCGAGGAGAACTTTCAAGTAACCTGCAATTGAACAAGCCCATTCCCACTCTGTTTCGGTTAATGTCTTTGAGTAGGAGTGATCGTTCTCTTGCAGAAGACAAAAGGCAGCCCTGTATTCTACTGCTGATACAATCATCATGTAGGTTGAATTCCATTGCATCGGACAATCAAGAATTAGACGCCTACCGCTACTGATTCCTACTTGTTCAGAAATTTCGTTAAATTTCGCGAGCAATGCTTGTGTACTTTTAACGTGCCTTATACATTCCCGAATTTTGTGTATCAAATCTCGACACGATTCCATGACTTCTTGTACAATAGACTTCAAAAGATGCGTAACACACCGCACGTCGAACAACTCGCCACCCTTTAAAAGAGGTCTGTTCTGGGACAACCAATCCTTAATCTTGAAAACCATAATTTCATAGGAGGAACAATCGTCAAACGTCATGGAAAACAGCTTTCGATCGATAGTCCAGTCTGTCAAACTCTTGATAATAACTTCCGAAAGTACATCGTCTGTGTGCGATGGATCCAATGATATGAAATTAAGCATCTTTTTTTGCAGCCTCCAGTCCTCATCGATAAAGTTAGCTGTCAGCGAAATATACTCGGAACTCTCTGGCGAGCCCCACATGTCCAGTGAAAGGCTTATTCTACCATGTAGATAATGAATGGCATCATATACTTTCTGTTTCTCCTTTTCATAGATTGCCATGCAGTCGATTTCAACGGCACCATTGTTGTTGACCTCGAACATGGGCTGCAGATTCTTGACAAATATTTTGAACCCAACATGGTCTACCATCGCCAGAGGATAACCATGCAACATAATCATTCGAGCAAGATCCAACCGACTACGCTCTTGATCAAACTTAACACTTCCTAGATTGATGGTTTGGTTTATGTCTTCTTTCTTTTGCTCCAGCTCGACCTTAAGAGGCATAGGAATGAGGATTTCATCTTTTATTTTTCCGTCTTCATAGTTGATAGATGTAAGGCCGAGATTGCTTTGGCCGATAGGGCTTTGGCTAGTTTCTTTTCTCTTCCTCTTTGCGGAGAGTATTTGAGAAACGTCGTAATTTGATCTCTTCAGACAACGGAGTAAATGATTCCTTAAATGTGTTGTACCGCTGTTACTGGACCCACTCAGTTTCTTTTTGCAATGGATGCAAATTGCATATTGTGCGTCTGCCTTTCTCACTCTCTCGAAGTGATTCCACACGACGGAAGTCAACCTCTTCGTTTTCTTGGCAGGAACCTCACTTACTATTTCCATGACATGCGCAAGGTATCAAGAATATCTCGTCTCTGTCAAATATGCGAAGAACTGCAGTCAGAAAATAGCTCCTTTCAGAACAAAATGACAGCAAACTCGATTTATTTATTTGATAACTAAAATGACAGCAGAGCAGACAACGTGCTTTCGGCAATTTGGCTACAATAAATAAAATATTCGAAAGGTTCAGAAAGCTAATGAAAACAGATAAATAAATCAGCACCAATAGGAACTACCTCTGATTTTCAATAAGCATGCAATATTGCAATGAACAGAAAAATCGAACTATTTTGCTTATTAAGCCACCTTAAAGTGTTATATTTCCTTCTAATCCAAACCTCTTTCGACCTCACTAGGCCCCCAAAACAACTAAACATACGTCGAAATTTAATCATGAAAGAGAAGTACAGCCATTTTTTGAAAAATTAATACTTTACGAAGATCTATCGAGCAAGCAACTAGGCAAATGTTTTTCAAAATGATACTTCATTGTGTGAGCGAATCGTATTTCCTACGACAATTTTAAAGCCGTTGACCTAAAAATACTAAAGAATTACAGCTCAAAATCGAACTCCCTCTATCCTGTTCGGATAATGGAGCTGAAGAAATCGAAATTCGATCGATCACTCTGGTAATTCAAAAACGCAACCAAAAAAGTAGAAATTCTATCAAATCATGATTCCTTTTATACCAAAGTAGAAACGCAGCACAAACACATATTGCTCAATCAATACTACCCACTCAACCTTTTTCCCGTAGGCAATTCTACCAAATCATGATTCTGGATTATATAAAAACAAAAAAGATTTAAAAAAAATAAAAAATAAAATAATTTCAACGCAGATAATTCAGCTAAAAACATAGAAAAAAATGCATCTTCAAAACTCAAATGGCGGAAAAAAAAATGAAAAACAAATCGCAAATTGTGAATTTCATAACAGATCACCAAACAAAAAAAAAGGGATTTGAGCACAGAAGTGAAGTCGGATCATCAAAATCGGGTCGGATCTAAGGTGTAAATGGAGGAAAAACGAACCTGCGGGTGAGAATTCCGGGCGGTGGTGGAAGTTTGCAGAGAGAGTCCGATCGGAGGATCCGAAAGAGGGTAAAAGGGTTATAGGGTCCGTAGGTTTTCAGATTTGGGTATGGTATGAACCGGATATCTGGGTTGGTAAGTCAACCCGGGAAATTGGATCCGTTTTACCATGGTTTGGTTTAGTAGTACCCGGGTTCTGGGTCGGGTTTGGTTGATTCTCTAGTAACAGTATGATATTTCAATTTTCTCAAAATCAATTTTTTTTTTTTTAATTAATTAAAATGGTACATTGTAATATATCAAATAGTACCATTTAGTTGTTGGTTTCAATTTTTTATTTGAAGTCTGGATTATTGTCAATTTAACATGTTAATTTTACTATTAAGTAGGGGTTTTCATTCCATAATACCATACCGAATTGTACCGGAATTTCGGTAAATTAAAATTTTAGTATTTTAATTTTTTTACCGCTTAACGAATCGAGTTATTCGGTTCAGTATGGTTGTTACCGAATTCATCATACTTTACTGGTAAAATCAAAATATATTTAAACTAATTAATTCTTGAATTTTACATTCAAATATCATCAATAATTGGTCGTAAAAACAAAAATGTGATTATCAATAGGCTAATTTATAAATAATGAAAAATTTATCAATCTAAAAGTATTTTATAATTTGTTATAATCTTAAAGAAATCAAAATAAAAGAAAAAAATAAATATGTATTAAGTATTTCCGTATTCGGTACAGTACATGATACCGGCATCATTATTTTTTTCTTTTTCTTTATGTCGATTCGGTTGGTTTATCGGCCGAGTGAACACCCCTACTCTACTAGTAAGTCAATTAGATATATGGGTGCAAATCAGCCGAATCAGGTCGAACGTGATTCATGGAACTCGGAAAGTTCGAATATTTAGTCACCTAAAATATAAAATCTATAATGATATTGATATAATAAATATAATTTTGAGAAAAAACTCAGAATTTTCGAAATTATTTTATTAAACTAAAATTGATCGAAAACCAGAACCCCATATATGTATATATTTCAATCCTGATCAAAACAATTTGAAAAGAAATGGAATAAATAATTTAGAAATTCAGATTGAGAAACTATTTTTCTAAAGTATGAATTTTTTTGGATAATATGGAAATTGAAAATTTAGTTACAATTTTCATCCCTAATTACAATGGAAGAGGGCATTAAAATGATTTTGCCCGGTTATATTAAATGAACGAGACACCGAGGAACCCCGAAAAGAAGCTCGGGCACCATCCGGGCCGGGTTATCCGCGAATTTATCGGATCCCCATTTCCCATACCCTCCCGCCAATTTGGGATTCTTTTCCGCCAACAATTGCGATTTTCCTTTCAATTTCCCTGCGACGAGATGATCAACAATCGCCGCCGCCGCCGCCGCCGCCGCCGCAGTGCTCAGGCAACCCCAGGTCCGGCGATTGCTGTTGCTGTTGAAGGCACTTGATGTGTACCCTTTCTCGTGAATTCGCCGGCCTCTCCTCCTCCAGCAATCGTAAGGTACCAAACTCCGATGCAAAAACTGAAGTTCAATTCACTAACGAGAGTGTGTATGTATTGATTGTTGATTGTTCAATACTACGTCTTTCATCTTTATCATCACTGTAAAA